CAGCAGTTCTGTGTGGGTGCGTGTGCCACTACTGATTGTGGTTACACTGGCCTGTATTCTTGTGTGCTGATTGTAATGGTGGTGGTGTGGTGTGACTCAGGTCATCCTTTGTTTTCTTTTTTTCTTTTTTGCATACAATCCCACTACAGTCTAACTAATCTTCCACCTGTTGGGATTTTCTTCTTCTTTTTTTGTTTCTTAATGTTAATTTGTTTTGTGTGTGTTTTTACTCTCTATGTTTATCCTATAATTATTATTATTGCTACTACTCCATTGTGTGTGTGTGTGTTCTTGGAGAATCTCTCTGTGTGTGCACCTGGGCTTGCACTGTAATGATAATGATGAACTGCTATTTTGCAGTGTGAGGGAAAAAGGAAATAATAATAACAGATGAATATATATTTATAATTGCGTATACACCCATATGGAGTTATACCCATAGTTGGTGTATTTCAGTATTTACTGGGTAAGTTGGGCTAATGGTTAATATCTGTTTCTTTGCTTCTGGGTTTGCTTGGGTTGTTGTTGTGTTCTGGCCCTGCAAACGTTTTTGGTGCTCTTCTTCGTGTAGAAGGAATAAATAATAACCGATACATATTTATATTCAAAATTGCGTATTTATTTAGGAATACCTATAGTTTTCTTAATTTGTGTGTTTGACAATGCTGTGTTGGTATTTTTAGTTGCTTTTTTCTTTGTTTTTTGATTGGTCTCCTCTTTTTGTGGTTCCTATTGATATTATTGCTGATGGTGTTGTTTTGTACTACTCTTGGTTTTGTAGTTGTTCTCTCTGTTACCGTTGGGGAATGTGTTTGTGGTTATTTTGCGTTCTGTTTGTTTTCTTTTTTTTTTTTTGTGCAGCTCAGATACCCCGAATAAGGAAAAGAACTGCTGCCGTGATGTTTCTTCACCGTGTGTTGTATGTTCTGGCGTTACTTTTGAGCATTATCTCTTTATGTGTGGCGACTGATGCTTCTGAAGAGTCTTCAGATGATGTTGTTAATAATGCTTGCACTCCTGAAAATGGTCATCCTGAAAAGTGTGCCAAACCTGCTGAACGTGGCCCTGGTCCTGTTGGTCCTGCTGCCAAAGCAGGTCAATTGGTTCCTAATGGTGAAAACGGCGAAAAAGGTGCTGCTGGAGCTTCTGGCAAAGCAGCTGGACCTGGTCCTGCTGAAAAGGCAGATGAAAAAAGCAAAGACAGCAATGGTTCTGACGATATTAGGGTACATCAGGGAAATTCCGCTAATGCTTCCGGACCTGCTGCTCAATCTTTACAACGTCAGTCTTCTGATCAACCAGGTACGCAAGGTCCTGCTGGCCAACATGGTGATCGAAGCAACGTTCCTGGTCGTACTGAAAAAGATCAGGAAGTCAATAAAGGAATTCCTTCTGTTATCACTGTTACTTCTGAATCTTCTACTTCAGTTCTCACTCCTGATACTAACCCTTCTGCGGGGACTGACGGTGAGTCTTCAGTTGATGGCCAAACTGGAGACGAGGGCAACCATACACCACGTGAGGGTGAAAATGGAGATAACAATGGAACTGCGGCAACACAATCTTCTGCTGAGTCTCCTAACACTTCCGCCACAGTGAGTGGTGATGGTTCTGATACTGCAACACCTGGGAATGGCACTTCATCTGCAGGGAGTGAATCATCAAATAACCAACAAAGTGTGGAAACTGCAGAGACAGATACAAATACCACCACCACAACAACAACACTTCCTCCTGAACTCACAAACAACAAGAAGGGTGATGCAGACAGCAGCAGCAGTATCAACAGTTCTGTGTGGGTGCGTGTACCACTACTGATTGTGGTTACACTGGCCTGTATTCTTGNGGGGCTGTGGAGGTGTCGTGCGGGGCCGGCGGTGCGCTGCGTGTACGCCCCGCTGCTGAGAGCGAGTGGCTTACATGCGGTGCGGGCAGCCGTGTGTCTGCATGTGGGAAGTACGCAGACCTCTGCCGCCAACGTACCGCAAGAACAGCAAGAACAACAACCATTGCTACTACTAATGCTGGACAACCAAAGGCGGTGATGGCTACTATGTATGGCAGTCCTGATGGGTCGCCTTTTTTTAATTATACTGTGTGGAAAGAGTTAGAGGGTGAGAAGCTGAAGAAAGGAAAAACTCTTCTGGCCACAAAAGCAGAAGGACTACTTAGCCAAAGACGAGAAAAGCAATTAAGCGATCGTGAAGTGCATGGTGTGGGCCACTCTGAAGCAGGTTCTTCTTTACAAGACACTCAGCGTACTGAATCCCGAGATGGTTTAAAATCAGGGATGGGGGAAATGGAAAATTAGGAGCAAGAACAAGCGCTTGCTCAGCAGAAACAACAACAGCAATTACAGGTTGAGCTACCTCACTCTGAACCACCTAAGTCTCTACCTGAGAATGACGCACAGGATAAAAAGGTGAAAGAAGTGGGTGCCTCGTCAGTCTCTGCTAGAGAACAACAGGACAACACGCTTGCTGCACCTGCAGAAACTTCACCAACAGCAGTTACTGACTCAACACGTGCACATGAAGGCACCCTGGAAACACCGGCAAAGGGATCACAAGAAACCACTATCACTTCCACTACTCCACAGAGCACCGAGAACACTGTCACTGAAGCACCAAACCCCACTCCATCTCCTGTACCTTTACCTAATGCAGGGAACAGCAGCAACATCACTTCCACCGTGCAGACGAAGACAAATGCTGACAGAAGTGTCACTCCTGTGTGGATGCGCACTGAAGCACCGCTGTTGATTGTGGTTGTGTTGTTCTGTTTTACCGTGTACTGAACGGTGGGACTCACTTGAGGATCAATAACAATAATTATGGTAGTACTAACATAATCGTAATCATAATTGCGTACATCCCCATGGGTGAAATAAATTAATAATCTGTTTAACAGCATTCTCTTTTAATTGGAATTTCTTTTCTATTTTATGTGTGTGCGTGTGTTCTTTTTCTAATAATTCCATTACTTGCTTTTCCCGTTGTGTGTGTGTGCAGAAAACTGGGCTGTTCTGCTCACTAACGGTATACATCTCTTGCTAGTACACACAGATGTGTGTGTGCAGTAATTTCATAAACTAGAGCCATGGGGTATTGTGTGTGTGTTTGGCTCTCTCTTATTTGGGTACTGTGGGGTGTTCTTTTCTATTAAGGGATTACATATTATTATTACAAGTGGGATATTACTTTTTGTTGCTTTACTGATTAGTTACTGCTTCTCTCTCCACTGTGAGTATTTGTTGTCATGGTGTATGTTTGTGTGTTTCTGGTTTTCCCTCCCTTCTTTCTTGTGCATTCCATTGAACTAAGACAGGTGCAACGATATCCACAATTTCTGCAACCATTGGAATAATAATAATAATGATGCGCTACGTGCTGTGTATCCTCGCTCTCCTGCTCTCATGTGCGTGTGTGCACGTCCTCGCTGAAGAAGTGCCTGCCGCCGATCTTTCCGACCAAGTCCCTGATACGGAGAGTGAGACAAAGATTCTTCTTCAAGGTACTCCTGTTGCTTGCACTAATGGTAAGACTTGTCCAAACGAAGATGAGCAATGTGAAACAGCTGAAGGAGGAGAGAAGCAAACCTGCAAAACCACAGACAAAGAGGTGCCACCTCCTGCGGTATCTGAGCCATTGTTACAAGTTTCAGATCATCTGGGAGGAAAGTCACCGCAAAAAGGTGATGGAAGTGTTTCTCAGGGTGTTCAAGGTCAGCCTGGTCTACCTGGTGTTGGTGTTGGTCCCGCTCCCGAATCTGGTGCTTCTCATGCTGGTTCGACTGCAAGTGCAGGTCAAGCTGAAAACGGCGACATGGCGGCAGGTGGAACTCTACCGAACGAGCAGAGTGCAGGAGAACAGCCTTCTTCTACCTCGCTGTCCACCAGTACAGAGACGGAGAGTGCTACTGGTGCTATCACTTCAACCGCGAATGGCGCTACAACTGCAGCGAGTGAGTCTGCGAAGGAACCTGACAGTACAACCAGTAATGAGCAATCAACGTCACCAACTACTACCACCACCACCACCACAACAACAACAACAACAACACTTCCTCCTGAACTCACAAACAACAAGAAGAGTGATGTAGACAGCAGCAGCAGTATCAGCAGTTCTGTGTGGGTGCGTGTACCACTACTGATTGTGGTTACACTGGCCTGTACTCTTGTATGCTGATTGAGTGTGATGGTGGTGTGACTCAGGTCATCCTTTGTTTTCTTTTCTTCTTTTTTGCATGCATCCCTACAGTTTAACTAATCTTCCACATGTTGGGATGTCTTTCTTCTTTTTTTGTTTCATCATGTTAATGTGTTTTGTGTGTTTTTGTTCTCTCTGTTTGTTTATCCTATAATAATTATTATTGCTACTCCATTATGTGTGTGTATGTGTTCTTGGAGACTCTCTCTGTGTGTGCACCTGGGCTTGCACTATGATGATAGTGATGAAGAACTGTTTTTTGTAGTGGGAAAAAGGAATTAATAATAACAGATGAATTTATATTTATAATTGCTTGTATACACACATATATAGACTTATACCCATAGTTGGTGTGTATTTCTGTGTTTACTGGGTAAATTGGGCTAATGATTAATATCTCTTTGTTTGCTTGTTGGTTTGCTGGGTCATTGTGGGTTTTGTCCTGCACAGTTGTGGTAGTCTGTTTTCTGCAGAAAAAAATAAGAATAACTGATACATCTTTTCATTCATAATTGTGTATTAACTTAATTATACCGAATGATCTGTGTTATTTATGTGTTTTGTGTATCCGTTATTCTTGATATTAATTTCATTTTTCTTGCGTTTGTTTCTTCACTGTGTTTTTGGTGAGCATTTATTGAAGTCTTTTTTGTTTAAGCTGGTGGCCTTGTTATGTGTGACTGATACTTATGTCATGCTCTTCATGGTTTTTCCCTCTCTGTTTCTTTACTATTGGGTGCTTGCTTTTATCTTCTTTTTCTTTTCTTTTTTTTTCTGCACTTAGGTGACCTAAAACAAGAAAAATAGATCTTGCTGTGTTCACGATGAATCGTGTGCTTTTTTTTCTTCTCTTTGTGCTGAGTGCTGCTTGTGTGGGTGCTGTGGCTGGTGTGGACAATTTAGAGCATCCTCCTGGGGGTCTTGTTCATGGACAGTCAACTACTATTGACATCACTCGTGGTGAAGGTCTTGGTGATTCAGCGCAAAGGGGAGGATTGGAAGAAAGACAACAAATTGGTGCTGATCGTGTCAGAAGTGGCCACACCGAAGGTGATTCTGAACGGGAAGAAGGTCCACCTTCTAGTCCTTAACTTGATTCTGATGGTGGTGATTGTCGTGCTTCAGGCAAGGAGGGTTCCAAGTGTAAAAACAACCGTGATGTATCTGAAGATTCTCATGCTGACTGTGCGGACCCACCTGGCAAGGAGCACTGCACTAAAAAGGATGGTGAAAGTGAAGCCAATTACCTGGAAGCATCTGAAACTCTTTGTCCACAACCAACAGCACCAAAGGAACCAGCTCCCACATCACCAAAGGAACCAGCTCCAACTTCACCAAAGGATCCTAATTCACCTAACGGACAGAATGCTTCTGGTACTATTGTTAATGGTAATGTTGGTGATGGTTCTAATGGTGGTTCTTCTTCTGATCATCCTGATACACCTCCTCTCACTGCTGCTTCTTCTTCTCCTGCTGAGGAGAGTGCTGCTCCGACTGAAGGTGGCAGTCAAGCTGGAGGCAGCGGCAGCAGTGCACCAGGTGAAGGTGCAGCAGATAATGCGAATGCTGAGGCAACACAACCTTCTTCGTCTTCTTCCAGCAGTTCAGAGAGAGATAATGCAAGTGGTTCTGATACTGCAAACGCTGGAAATGGCACTACTTCTCCAGAGGGTGAATCTCAAAGTAACTCATCTGGTGTGGGAAATACAGAAACTACCACCACCACCACAGCAACAACAACAACACTTCCTCCTGAACTCACAAACAACAAGAAGGGTGATGCAGACAGCAGCAGGAGTATGAGCAGTTCTGTATGGGTGCGTGTGCCACTACTGATTGTGGCTGTGTTGTTCTCCGCTACCATGTACTGAACGGTGGGACTCATCTGAGGACAAATAATAATAATGGTAAAACTAACACAATCACAATTGCGTACATCCCCCATGGGTGAATAAA